AATAATAAATAAGCTTTTAAAAAGTTTTTACATACAAGTTATATGCCTGGTAAATAATGAAATTTAAACACAAATATGATTAAATATTTTCACAAAATTATTCATATCTGATTGAACAGCAGTAGATCAGCCCCAGGGTGGGAGGGGTACTCAGGTATATAAGTGAAAGGGACGTGCAAATTTAAGGTTTGGGGATTGGAATTAGAAATTAAATTAGATTATATATTTTCTGGCGGATTTTTTTTTTTGGGGGGGGTAAAAATATTTTGACATGGTAATCTATGGGGGGGGGGGGGGTGGCGGCGTTACGTTATGGGCCTTTGGACTTTTGGAGGTCTAGTTTTAGCCTAATGTACCTTTTTGGGGGTCTAAAATGTGGCCTCATTCGCTACTCCCCATCACTAATATATCTGAGTAGCCCCCTTTGGAGATCAGCTACAATCAAGAGACTATGATCATAGTCTCTTGCTACAATCAAAGACACTTCTACTCTCCCCTGCCCTCTCAATGTTGGTTTACAAGATTTCATAACAGAATAGCAAGAAACAGGAACGAAAGTAAAGTGACCCAACTAATTGTGTCTCTGACCATAGTTAATAGAGGGAAATAGTTATGAAGCCCGGCAAACTTCAAAGGAACAAACAAAGAGGCCAAGATTTATGTTGGAAGGTCCACGACCGTGTACAATCTTTTGTTTTGCGATGGTTGAATTACGTAACCGAAATGTTTCTATTGGTTAGTTCCTTGAAAACACGTAAACACCTATTGTATTTTGTCAGGTTTTGTGCACGGTCAAGGCCAAAAAAGCGAACAAAATCTATAACAAAGAACTTTGTCGGGCTTCATAACCATTTCGCTCTATTAACTATGCTCTGACTGTAGCTTTGTTCCTCGTAATCCCTCAAGAGCTTACAAAATCCGAATAACAACCGTGCCAACGGATTACACTGAGAATTTCGACATTGAATATCAGAATAAATTACTAGAATAAAGTGTTGGCCCGAAGGATTTATTCTGGTAATTAATTCTGGTATTCAAATGTATACATTATCGGTGCAATCCGTCAAATTGTGTTGTGAATTACGATTTCGTTACAAATATATAAATATAAAATAAATAATATTAATAATAATATGTAATATATATTGAAATTTACAACCACGTAGTGCGACTTAGGTTTTTACATTCAGTAAAAGGAGAAAACTAACTATATACTTTTTACAGGAAAATCTTACAAATGTGAATTGTAAAAATATTTACAACAATACATTTATCTCACTTTGTCTTTTACAATTTCTTATAAATTTATATTTAAAGTAATAAATAGTGATCTAATTGTATATATAAATAATTTAAATATAGTTGAAAATGTAAGGAAATGCCTAGGGCCTAAAAACTATATTGTATAGGACTAGTAACTGACTATTAACTGACTAGTAACACTAAAAACTATATTGTATAGGACACGTTTTTAGAAAAAAAAAGCCATGTGCACATTGTGGAAAACAGCTGCGCTCAGTTTTACAATTAAACTTTGAAGAGGTCGACTGAATTTTTCTTTCCTTCGCAGCCTTATTTGGGTCGTCACGCAACGCGAGTGGGGATACGCATTGCGTGACAATCATCACCACAATTAGCGCAATATGCCAGACAATCATGACGTGATTCCATTGTCCGCTACAATATTCGACTTCTACAATTCCGAGATCTAGAGCTTTAGAAGGTAACATCTTCCACATAATTTTAGCTGATGAGTTTATATATAAAACGATTGTATTTTTCATTGAGAATAACAAGTTTCATTTTATTAAAGTACATATAACTATTTTATTCAAATTTAACGCGTTGCTTCCAAAGCACCGAGTACGAACTAAAAAAATGTATTTAGGTATGATATCATACAATAAGCTTTCCCACTAAAAAGTATTTACAAGTAAGTTATGACTTGAAGCACGAGTGCGTTTATTATCTCGAGGTGTTCATTTTTTTTTTGCCGAAGGTTACATGTACCGTAAGCTCACCCAAAATAGAGCCAAGTATTTGTCAGTCTATTGTATTAGCGACTGTAAAAACAAGAATTGTTAATTAAAAACAATTTTTAAGAGATTATATTTCATTGCTGGTAGACACCACACGCTTTACCAGTCTATTATTTTAATTATATTATGCTTTACCTTATTGTTAAAAACCTATAAGCTACATCGACCACCGGCTTTCACTTTCCTCAGAGGTTTCTTGACTCGTGTATTGCCACTGTGGAGGAAGCTTGTCTTGTTAATCTGTAAAAACAACAGCGAACACAACAAATAATATAATCAAATGGTAGAAATAAAAGTTGCATGAAACATGATGTCCAATTGACTATAAACACACTGGCTTGTTTCGTGATATCTATGTCGATAAGCAGCATTGTGCTCAAAATACTGAACACTTTTGTATATGTAACGCTGTGTGATAGTAACTTCGAAAATCCACCTTCGTCATTCTACACCAAAAAATAACGAGCTATGACGTAAGTATATCAGCTCCCCGGAACATTAAGCCCCTCAGACACAAAACCCGCTCCCACACCAAGACTCCCCAAGTATAACAATTTTATTTCGCTGAAAAGAGTGATCTAATTTAATTCAGGATGCCCCCTTGCTGCAAAATGTATTTTGTATTTTATATAATTACGCTACGAGAAAGATCTGATTAATCGGAAAACGAATTCCGCACACTGGTCGGACGCTCTACCACTGAGCTACAGGAGACTCGTGGGAGCTTAGGCCATATAACTAGGTTCAAATGTGACAAACATCCCGCATACTGCTAAAATTAGTTTTGTCGATATGTAAAATATGTACGAAAAGAAACGTATGTTTAAGCTTGGAAGAAACTCAATAAGAAAGACTGGTTTGCCACTGACTGAATGATATCATTGTGTTTATACCAAGCTTAGTTGTATACCATAATTTATTTTCATGCTGAGATCATACGCGTTTGATGTTCACGTTGACGTTCGCAATTTATGCAGAGCTTGTTTAGAGATTCATATCGTTTGGATCAAGGACTTTAAATCCCATTTGACGAACAACTACAAGGTATTTTTATTTGCAGCTTAACAATTTCAAGATGCATGCATTCCCCACTCCCCACCCGTCTCCCGCAATCCCCTTCGAAAATAAGGCCAAGAAAAAAGGGTATGGTATTGAAATAACATATTAACCAATTATGTTGTATTGGATTCAAGAAACCAAATAATTCAATGGGAGTCTTACCATGAACTATACTACGCATCTTTTTAACCAGGGCATCACACTGTCTCTCCCAGCTGTAGTGCTTTTCGTAACATGTCCGCAATCTTTGAATCTCTTGAAGTCGCTCTGCTCTGTCTGTCAGACGGACAGCTGCGATTGCCTTGGCCCACTCTTTAGGGTCAGAGGATTCCACCACAAACGGCTTGCCTAATGGTAGAGCACGCAATGCATCTCCAAAACCCGAGTTACCACTCACAAGAATGGGAAGACCAGCAGACAATGCTTCCAACGCAGTCAACCCGAATCCCTCTGTCCTGGAAGGCATGATGGCAAGATCAACCTCGCAAAACAAATCTTTCAATCCTTCCTTGCTTTGCACAAACTTTCTGACAAACAGCTGATCTTTAGAGATTCTACTCTGCAGTAATATTTCTGCGACTTCATCCTGTTTTCCATCGGGTGCGCCTACAAAGATCAAACGGTAAGAGCTGTCTTTCAGTTTAACTATTGCCTTCGCAGCAATGTCATATCCCTTGAGACTGAAGTCTTCAGGATCACCCCGGCCAAAGGTCAACACATTAAACTTGTCACGCTCGTTGGTTGCTTGTTTTACGGCTGCAAATTCGCTGAATGTGCCAGGCGTCAGCTGAAATATGTCTTGGTTTTTCTCGCACGAGCGCAGGTACGAAGAGTAGGCCTCAGTCAATTTGGGTCCAACTGCCACAACAAGATTTGCCAATTTACATAAGTCTACTTCGGTTATTTTCTTCTCTTCGCCTTTTGAAATGGCTTTTGGACAGTTTTTGTGCATTCCGAGTTCTTCAGGCGAAGTATGCACTACTTGCACCCACTTACAACTGTGCGACTCTCTGATGACTTGAGCCTGTTTACCAAGCTTCCGCCCATGGCCCAGTACGATGTCAATGACAAGGTCTCTTGGTGGGAAGCTCAACCAGTCAAGGGGATCGGTGTATCCTGGACGTCTTTCTGCTTCTCTAATGGCAATATTGTGTCTTATAGCGGCCCTCTTCTCTTCTTCACAACAAGCAAATTGTGGCACTAAGAGAGTGACTTCTACTTGCATGTCTTTCGCCAATAGTATCGCAAGCTGCCTGTTTATGGTTGACAAGCCCCCCATAGAAGAACTCCACTCACTGGCCAAGAGGGTAACTCTTAATGCTATGTCGGACGTCCCTGGATTTCCTTCTGCTGGTGAACCTTGTGATGTTCCAACTACGGTGGTAGTGCAAGGAGACGAATCCTACAAGAGAATGACAATGCATTTATACAAATGCATGTTGGGCATGCCGCATCGGAAGAAGGATGGGAGATCACATAAGACAACACGGCGCTTGCGCAATTCATTCTTCAAAGACACTTAATGGGAACATCAGGCATCTCGCACATAGCCATATAAGCATGTCTCAGCTATGCAACCGGTACCACCCAAGGCCAACAAAGGGTGGGAAACCAATATGTGGTGGGCATGTGATCTCACAACCTTCTGATGTCATGTAGTAGAGTCTTAATCAAACTTCAACAAACAGGTAAGTCTCAATTAATTACCCAATTACCATGTAGGCTTTAAGTTCAGGATCAGCTTCTAAGAGTGTTTGGTCACTTATAGGAACACCAAAAAACTCCACTGGAGTCTCCTACAGATTGAAATACAACAGAAGAAACTTTATTACGAAGGTAGATCATCGCAGTGAAAGATTTACAACTTAAGCAGTTGTAAAGAGAAACCTGAAAAAAGGATTCAGGTTTGAACGGGATTCGAACCCATGACCTTGCAATGCCGGTACAATGCTCTCATCAACTCAGTTATAAAGCCCGCTGGTCTATAGCTATGATAACAACCTACGATAAACCATTGTGTACAGTGTTGTGCAAAAGTAAACGAATTCATCCATCCAATTTGGACGAATTTTGGAGCTTTTCAAGGCTTTTCGGCGAAAATGATGCTGATCAAAACTTGATACTGCGAAAATCCGCAAAATTTCGCATCCTGGTTCGAAATTTCGTTTTCATCAACGAAATATCGCCAACTTTTTTTGAGGTGATTCGAAGCTTTCCGAAACTCCGACGAAATTTTGACGAACAAAGCACGAAAGCCATCAATATTCGTTTGCATTACTTTTGCACAGTAAATGTAGAGGGCTAGAGCGAGCGAAAAGGAAAGCTGAGTGTACCTCTAACGAATCATCCTTAAAATTCCTTTTGAGAAGCGACGATTCAAAGTTCAAGTCACACAATAAATGCCGATCTTCATCGTGTTTGGGACTGTTGTAAAACTTCACTCCAGATAGTCCCTTGTCACTGGTTACGCGAACTGGAACTGGTCGTCCGTATCTTTTACGTTCAAACCTGTTAAAAAAAATAGATCGAAATATATTGAGGACAGCTCGTAAATGATGAAGTAATGCGAGTAATTTTCCAATGTTGTTGCAAGTGCCCGTTCCGAAGTTCAAAAAGGGACTGGGCACTAGTTTACCAATTGTTCAAATTACGTCATATTAAAAATGTAATCCCATCACCCGAAAGATTGCATAAAAATTAGTAAGTTCATCAAGTTTGGTTATGTTACATTGCATAGTAACCAGGCTGTGAGCTGTCAAAGGTCGTCCAAATTCCATACAAACGTCTCTAATTCAGAGATGGCGTCCCCCAAATCCATACAGGCTCTAATTTTTCTGATTTTTGAAAGCCTTCTACATGGTTGAAATCCAACGAAACAACCCCAAACTTGGTAAACCGAATAATTTTAATGTGATCTTTATTGTGATGGGCTCCAATTTTTAATTAAATCAAAATTTAAAAACTCGTCCCCAGTCTCCATTTTGAACTTCGGAACGGGCAATACTGTTTAACTTTAGTCTATATTGTACACATCGTTGAATAGGTTTGGCACTGACTCTTTATTGATGTTGTTGTTATTGTTGTTGAGCTATAGACGTCTTGGCTAATTCTTAACACTTCATCCGTTTAAAAAAAGCTGTTGTTATGCGCGATTGAAAACGTAGCGAAAGGTTTATACGCGTGACAAAAATACTGAATGTTTATCTGACTGTGTGTTTATGTTATGTTTATATTAGTCTAAAGAGCGGCTTTTAATTGAGTGTCGAAAGTAAACAAGCGTTTGCTTCGGTTTTGCTTCACTGCGCGCTTTGATTGGTTCGAAAAACTCGCGCCACTTTCTTATCCAATCTGATGCCAAACTAAAACCAATCGTGAACCGTGACTTGGTCGCACGCGTTTTCGCGCGCTTGGCGTCGGTTACGTGTATTTGCTTCGAGTTATGATTGGTTTCTTGTGTTTCTTACGTCTGTTGTGATTGGCCGGAGTGATTACTTTGGTTTGGGTTTTACTACACTCAATTGAAAACCGCTCTATGTTCGTTCCTTGCACTAATTTTGTCATGTACAAACATACCTGAGATGAAAGTTATCTATGTCATCTTCGTCAACAGCCCTAATCCCGCCTGAGAGAGAAACATATGCCTTGTCGTGCCCCGGTATCATCATTATAATGGAATCCGATTCACATAGAAGCTCTAAAATGCCATGACGTTCTATCGTGTCAGCTACCGGATCTCCAAGGTGAGAGGGGCAGCAAATGAGGTGCAAAACAGTGTCTCGCGAAACAGGGCGTTTTACTGGACGGAAATAAGCGAAGAACACCGCCAGCAGTGGCTGGTTCCGAATAAGGTTTGACATATATCCAATAACCCCAGTAAAGAATATTTTGCACAAGTCAACAATATACGTATATCTGCAACAAATGAAGATGAGCGAAATGTGTTTTTTAGATTTGACATGCAGTAGAAAAATTAAAAGTACTTGATTTACAAAACACCATGTTTGGACGCTTTGAAAATGACCGTGCAAGGAAACTTTATAAACATGTGAAAGGGTTTCTTTTTGTAGATGGACTCGTTTTGATACATAGGCAAAAGACAATTAAATATGCACGAATCTGACAGGAAACATTCTAAATACGTTATTATACTTTACAAACTCTTGCGTAAATGGTCCGACTGTAAGATATACGAAATTAAATCAACAGTTGACATACCCAGAGAAGCGCTCAACCTGGAATGTAACTATCTTCCCATTAAAAGTGGCTGGCTTCTTCAGATCGTCAGTGATTTCAACCCATTCTTTTTGTTCACCATCAGAACTCAGAAACAACACTCTAACACGGCAAGCTGACTGGTCGCCGGGAATCTCGTGCTGCTTATCTCCCAACGAAACTGGCAAATGGATCGTAACGGGCTTCAAGAATTCGACAACTTCTGTACAGCAGATTCGCAGAATAGGTCCAACTAATATATCTTTGCCATCAAATTCTTCACCTGGAACTTCTTGTACCTAGAAGATGGCAAACCAAACGCACTTTCAAGACATATTTAGCAGTCAGTCGACGCCAAACAAGAGCACGTTTTCGTTCAAGTAATCGACGAGTTTCCAATTCCTATTGACAAAGCATAAATTGCATTATATAACAACTCTGAGAGTTGTCACTACGGATCGTTTTCTAAATTTTGATATTCAACTTGGGCCGAAAAATCATAACACCTGAAATGTGATGGATTCCTGAATTTGACAGCTAACACGCCTTCACTGTCACCATGTCAACATCCTAGCTTCGATATTGACAAATGTAAAAATGACCCAACAAGCAGGCAGATGACGCAAATTCTAGTGTACTGAAAGCAGTTGATATGTACACCTTCCAATCCACAACCACATGCAAGCAAGCTTACCTTTATTTGCAGAGGAATCTTTGCCTTAGGTGCAACAGCCTTCTTAGGGATGGTAACACTCACACTCGGATAGTCAGGCAGGTTAAATGAACCACCGCTAGATGTAATGGTGTAAAGCGGTGACGACTTGAGACGACAGACCACTGCGTACGTAGAGCATTCTGTTATCTCAGCTTGCACAACAGGAAAATAAAAGTCAGGAATGTCTTCGGCAGAGGGATATTCGTCTTCAATATCTGTTGTGGAAAATATCATGTTGGAAAAAAGTAGGTATTACATAGTGAGATTGCAAATTGAGTTTTAAACCCATAACGTGGCTTTACATCAAGGTAGCAAAATCCTCGACTTCTTATTTCACCTTCGTGTTCTGTAAAGAAAGCAAGGAGGAGCCAGATGGCTCATCTTTGCCACTGAACTCCGGTTTCCGTAGCTTAACGCACGAACTATGAGTATTGCTACTCCCCCTGGATGGAATACGTGTCCATCGCAGGTAAACTCCCGGCATTTTTTCAGTTTTCCACAATTCCAATACGCCAGTATACCTGGCAAACTCAAGAACAGAACACAAGTAGAAAGGCCAGACTTGAACTCTCGACATCCTAGTCTTACATTACGCCCAACACGCTGAACATTTTACTGACCACCGTGCCTTCACATGTCATCATGTACCTAACACTTATTGTGGACCAAATAAAAAGCGAGTCCTCAAACCTGAGAGACTCTTAAAGTCTTTGGTTCCAGCGATGTCCTCCCACTCATTGCTCTCCTTGTCAGTCAACTTGCATACCACCAATTCATACCCATGTAGGTTAGGAGCACTGTGAGAGAGTACCAATTTCACGTCAGCACTAAATTCCATTAGTTCCTGACTGTCGGTCGAAATTTCAATGACGTTGCTGACAATTGCTTCATGCTCTTGGAGTTGAGGTGAGCAGGCTCTGGACTTCCATCTATGGACCACTATCGAGGTGGGCTCAGATACAGCATCACGAGGGAATGTCATGTGCACAGCCCCTTGTTTGAGATCCAAGTGGGTGCCTTCGCTGGTTACGGTTCCTCTGAAAAATATGATAGTCTTTGAGAATAGTGCCAAAATAAATTCTCACTATAATACTCGATGGAAAGTAAATAAATAAAATAATATTACGAGCAAGATTTCAAAGGTTTCATAATTTAAATGAAGGCATATTCTCTAAGTGAAACCTGGTTTGTCCCAAACTTGTTTCCCTTTGTTTACTAATTGCTACTCACTACACAACATATATATCTTCATACTCAGGTACAAAGCTATTTAAAATGACAAATCAAAAATTGTGGCAATGTGACAATGGATAATGCGGCAACCTTAAGCCCACCACTTGGCGAAAAGACTGAAAAAATCCACTACACAGATAGGCAGTGAAGACTTGCTAGAATTCACCATATGGCTTAGAGTTTTTTGACGTCATCAAGTCACAGTCCATACATGTATGTGTAAGTATTTTCAGACAAAATGAAAATTTAATAAGAAAGATGTTAATTCAGTTTGTCACGAGCATGGGACAAAAAGCGTCGAAAGAGTCTTGTGTGGTAATAAAGAAATAAAGATGGTACATTTTAAGCTCGGTAAAATTAAATAAGAAAGATTTTAAGACGAAATCCATTAGAAAATCGTGTAATATTTATGGCCAGTGGACAAAAATCCTGTACTATGACGCTAAGCTTTCACGCTTAAACTAGACATTCATGAGCCATACCTTAACGGTATTCTCCAAATAATATAACTCCACAATCCTTAAATTGCTTTCCGCCTTGAGTTTCCTCCCGTGAATGGGTCTAGTCTGAGAGGTGGCAGCCATGTTTCTGGGAAACAATTACGGATTGTGGAGTTATATTATTTGGTGAATACCGTTAAGGTATGGCTCATGAATGTCTAGTTTAAGCGTGAAAGCTTATGGCGTCATAGTACAGGATTTTTGTCCACTGGCCATAAATATTACACGAAATAGATTCGTCTTAATTCAGTTTGTCACGAGCGAAATTTACTTGAAGATGGTGCGTTTGTTTTCAGTTTCACTGTCCTCAGCTCC